CGCCGCCACCGCCGCCGCCACCGCCGCTGCCGCCGCCGGCCGGCCCGTGCAAAGTGCCCAGACTTTCCATTGTCAGCTCCGGGTTCATGGCGCAGCCTTCTAGGTCTTTGGTGAGGCATCGATAGGCGGTGTAGGCAGCCTTCATTCAGTCCATCGGGGCCCGGAGGCGGCGGGGGCGGCGGGGACGGCCGGAGGGCAGGCGAGGCGCGCGTGGCGTGCTCCGCCGCGGAGCGGGAGGCGCGAGTGCGGGAGTGTGTGTGCAGGGGCGCGTGCGTGCGGTGTGCGCCCCGGGCTGCGGGCGGGCGGCGCGCCCGAGTGGGGGCGGGGAGGGGGCGGACGGGACGTGCGTGCGGGAGAGGGGTGGGGGCGGGAGGAGGGAGGGATCACCGGGCCCCGCCGCTCGGGCCGGCGCGCTGCCTCGCCATGTCCGAGCCCGCTCTGGAGCCGGCGTCTTCTGTTTGGGTGAGCGGGAGCTGTCCAGAAGGGCTCTGTAGCTCGCCGGGGCAGCCAACCTACCCTCTCGGGCCCGGGGCGGGGCGCGCCCGATGGGCTCTGCTAGCAGCCACTCCGCGGTCGCGACTGCCTCTGGGGGCGGGCCTCCTGCACGCATCCACCAATGGATGCAGTGAGGGCGGGGCCGCGCGTTTCATGTTTGGCTGACGGCTCGGTGCCTTTTTTTTTCCTCCTTTGCTACTGGAATCAAACGTCAAGGAGAGGGAGCCAGGGGCAGGGCGGGAGAGCGGGGGGAGTGGAAGAGAGAAAGGCAGAGTGCGAGCTTGAGAGGGAGATTACGTTCAAGATGCCGCTCTGTTCCCTCTCGGGCAGCTGCGATCTGGGGTCAGGGCAGTGCTTTGGTTCCCTGCGCCTCGCCCCAAAGCTGTCCTGGAGGTTCGGAAGCTGGGAGGAGAAGATTCCGCTGAGCGACTCGTGAAAACAAAACCACGTCTCCATGCCAGCCAAGTCCCGAGCGTCCCTAGCCGGGAGCGAATTTAGCCTTTTAAGATGTAGGCGCTAATGTATTCTAATACATAGTAAATTCCCGAGACTGAAGCATGCATAATCTACTAGGAAATAGACGGAGCTCTGACACCCGCGCGGCTGGAGGAAGCCCACCTGCCTCCGGGTGCATGCAAAGTTATCACAATAACATCATTTAATTACCAGGCGAGCCCAATAATCTCCCAGTTAGGAAGTTCTGAAGAGCCCTGCTAGATTGCTAAACAAAACTGAAACTCCCGGAGCTGCCGAACCAAAATGATCAAGTGCTGGCCCCAAGCGCGACTTGGAAAATAACGGAAGAGTATCGAAATTGATGGGGGAAATTGGGGGCGATGTTACTAGTGCGGACGATTAGAGCAAACTTCGGCTGAGGGCAGAAAGTATGTGAAACAGCCGGGGCGACACCATTGAATCCATCCCCCCGAAATGTGCGCGCGTGCGCATACACGCACGCACACACACACACACACACACACACACACCCGCTTCGCTCCAACACCCACACTATAACACCCTGGGTTAAGATTCTGGGTAGTGACTTTGGTTTCGGTAGACATTTGCATATCCAACCCTTGTTTCTAAAATGACTTGCATTCGAGTGAACTGAAAAAGGTTTGGCAAACGCCCGCCACTTGAAAAAGTGCAGCTTCGTGCTCCGAGAATTTCCGTTGTTTGGCAAACCGGGGTTTGGAGGTGGGTGGTGGAAATGGAGACAGCGGGGTGGGGGGATTAGAAATGGAGAGGTGGGGATTTCCGCTGTTGGTAGAGGGGGGCGAGGGACGTGATTGAGGACAGTCAGCGATACCAGCACCCGGCAATGAAAGCTTAAAAGTAACTGATTCTTCCAAAGCAGGTTGCGCTCTGTTTGCCTCCGAAGATTCAAGCTAGCTGAGGTTGCGCAGATGTTGCCTTTGTTTAAAGAGACAGTAATTAAGGACAGGGTGAACATAAGTTTGAGAAGCGTGACCTATTTTCTTTTCATCAGCTGTCAAAAGAAGAGCAGGGGGTCTCCATAAGACAGCCCCCTCCAACCACTTCCAGCTGTTAAAGAAAACTTGATAAGGAAACAAGGACACAGTCTGGAATACTGTATATGTCTTCTTGGTTCTAGAAAAGGGTTTAATTCATTTGGAAGACAGTTCTTAGTTTCAGTAACCTTTCAAGGCTCCTCTCCTCTCTCTTCCAGCGGGGGCGAGGGGTTCCCACATAGCCACCCTGTCACATGGATGTACAGTGACGTTATTCATAGATCAACTTTACTGAGCTCTAGCCAATACATTGCCCATTATTCTTTCAGATAGCTTTTCTTCTGTAGTACCTAAGCCACGAGTAAGAAAGGAGCTGACCCCTTGCTTTACTAGACCTAGTACCCTGGCTGCTCACATCTTTAATGTCATGGAACCAGACAGGTGAAATAACTTCAGTTTCCTGTTTTTCACTACCTTTTCCCCCCTTTTTCTTTTGTCTCCTCCCGCCCCAAGTCTTGATCTCCAGTCGTTGCCTTGCATATAATGACTAGACACTTGGAACAATTTAAACCAGTTAATGTTTGAAATATACACTGAGTTGAACAAAAAAGTTCGTGAGACTGAAACCTCCTGTTAGGGGAAGAGTGCCCGGTGACTGAAATACTGGTAGGAGAGTAACAGGGCTGGGGAACAATCCCTCTGATGTGCCCCAGAGCTAGATGCCCTACACTGCCCTGGCCTCAGGCTCCAGCAGTGGCCACTGACCCTGGACTGGGACAGCGGTTAAGCAACCACTTCCACACAGAAGCCCAAGTATATAAATTGTCGTTTAAATAATTTTTCAAAATGATAAACTCATTTACCAGGCCACCAAGATAAATCTGCTCCTGGGAATTGCAATTCGGTGTGCGGAGGGCAGTCACGTGTTGGGGAGTTGAAAGGTGAGTTACAGATTCTCCCTGCCTCCCTCCCTTTCGGCCTCTCGTCTCCCATTGTCCCTCCCCCTTCGCTCGATCAATATTGGAGATCTCAGGGAAATCGTGAAATCGTATTGGCTTCTTTGTGTATAATTTTATTGGCCTAAATTAAAGAAGATTTTTTTGCGTTGTTTTTTTTAAATGGCTGTTCGAGGTTTTATGTTTCTACCTAAAACCCATTGATAAGGAAAATGAACATCCTTGTTTTTCCAGTACCCTAATTTTTTTTTTTTTAGGGAATTAGGTTTGGATGCCCTTTCACCTTTCTTTCTGGAGAGGAAAAACAATATTTATTTTCTACTTCCAGATAATTTTAAGAATATCGATACTAATAAGATATTCAAGTATGTCCTGAAATAGCTTTGCTGTTTCTTTCTCTGTAGTTCTTTAAGAGAATAAAGAGAAAGGTTTGCTTTCTAACTGTTCCTTGTTTAGCATTTGTACTCTAACCTTCAGAAGTTACAGGACTCCGATTTTTTTCTTTTAATCTGAAGTACACTCGTGCCCCCATACCCTCTCCCCAAGCCCAGCATTTGAATCCCAGACTGTATCTGGACTTGAGAGTGATTATTTCACAACTATAAGGATCTGTACAAACAGTTGCACCAAACACTGTCAGAAGCAAGATATCCACTACTTGGTACATCACATCCACTGGATTGATTTTCTTAAAGGCTACTTAAATGAGTCAAAAGGATCATGGAAATAAAATGTAGCTTCAGTTACAAAATGGGCTGGTTGCACTGTAAAAGGAAAACAAAAAACAAAACATCTGTATTTGAGTTACAAATTGCAGAAAAAGGCTGAAAACATGGACTGGTAGAGCGTGTCATACCTCTTCTTACATTAAAAAATGTTTAGACTCTGTGAGGGGGAAAGAGGTACATATTCAATTAAAACAGAAAACCTATAAATTATTCACGATTTTTTAGAAAAAACAACAGACCACAAGTAAACCCAACAGCTTTGTTTTTACTAAACAACAGCATCCACAGCCCAAATCCAGGCAAGAGAGGGGGCTACTGGTTTCTACCCAAGTGCTCAAAATCTCTTCCGTTTTTGTGTTGGACAGAACACGTTTGTGCTTACAACTAGGTTTATCAGAGCAATACAAAAAGACACAATGGTGGGCTGATTTGGACTATTTTATTTTTGTCCTTCCCCAAACCATCTGGCGTGTGAGTGTAGGGTATTGATCAGGCTCTGTGAGCTGCAGACCCCATGCCAATCCATAGCGTTTCTGGCAATCAGCGTGGCCCATGAATTGCAGCTGTCTGTGCAGCTCTCGAACAGAAATCTGCAAAAAAAAAAAAAAAAAAAAAGAAACAAATGACGTATTACATTAGGCAAATCTGCTGCACAAGACCTTTTATTCATCAGAAAGGAGTTGGGACAAATTCGAGAGTCCTATACACTAATAAAAAAAAAAGTCCCCCCCTTATCAAACACATCATCCGTTCGGGGGTAAGTCAATATCATTTCTTTGTCATTCTTGAGAGAGGATTATGCTGGAGAAAGTTTTTGTTGTCTGTTGTAGCTGCGGCTACGTCTGCCCCCCCCTTTTTTTTTTTAAAGGAAGGAGAGCAATTTTCTAGCCATTGAATGGTAATGGTTTTCCAGAAAGGCCTCAAGCGTTTGTATGAATCGGACAGTAAATGCGGTTTCAATATTGTGGGGGAATTTTAAGAGGAGGGGCACATTCGTTTGTTGCTATGCACAAATAATGGTAGGGATCCTAGGTTTCTTTTAATGTCGGAGAATTTTCTCCCTCCCCGGCGCCCCTGGTGATGTAGACAGAGCAGTGGATATGATTACTTATGCAGATGGACGGTGGGTACTTGTAGCCAAAAGGAGCCTTCAGATTGTGGCCCTCCGTGATATCTCCATTAGCTTGAATTTTCTTGTCTGAAAGCTCGGACTGGTTGAGCACAGGCAGAAGAAAACTAAAATATGAAGCCCAGTGTCACGAACTCCCTCAGTCTTTCTGCTCAGAAATGTACAGACAAGGTTCAGATTCCAGTTGGATCTAGGAGAGTTTAAAAAAGAGAAGTTTTCTGGGTGGTAAAGCTGATCCGGCCCTTTTTCATTTTCCTTCTTTCCAGTTTATCACAAGATCACAAAATCGAAAATTCTGGGTTAGAGCTGGCAGGGTACTACCTCCGAACTTTTCGGTTGACAAAGGACACTTTTCGTGTACGATG